ATGGCGTAAGCTCGAATCGCGCACTCGATTCGCCTATTGGATATTCTTCAAACGAGGCGGTTTTATATGGTTCAGGTCTTGCTGAAGATGATTATGATGGATCTGGTGAAGAAACTTTTCTCTACGAACAGGTCAGTTGAGAGAACCACTTAAAAAATATTTGCAGTTTTGATCATCGATTAAACGATCACTTATAATCAATACTTTGATCTGTTAGAGATACAATTGGGCTGTCTTCATTATTCTCCTTATTATCAGTTCTATTATGATCGATTTCATTATCAATTGATAATTATGATCACTTTTATTGTTATCAGTGCACTGATCATTATCATTACCTTATCAGTATCATAATCACTACCTACTATTTGCTGATATGATATCCATATAGTGTCACAATTTAAGGAAGTAATTGAGGATGACTTCATGCGTGCAGTTCGTTCGCAAATGGGATTGACTTCAGGCAGCGCATTCGTGTTCGGTTCAGTGCCTGTGCACGCTGTGCCGCAAGATGCAGAGACCGAGCACGATAGCAGTAGTATCACGGCTGCTGCTGCTGCTTCAGGGNCTGCTGGCAACGCTGCATATCCGGATATTTTGACGGAAAGCGGCAGTAACGGACTGGTTTTGTATGAAGTGCCTGATGAGATTCTGTTTGAATTAGGCACGAGCGGTATTATTATTGGATCAGGACCCGGTGACGGTAACTACCGTGGATTGGGCGACGAGGATGGTCGGTACGGCTGCGATGAAATTGGCGACGTGTCAGGCAACGATAGCCTCAGTGAAGAGCATGAATTTAGTGCAGAGGCTGCTGAGGCTGTCTATGCTGATCACTAATAGGCATTCGGCTGATTATGCGTGTGTGTACATTCAATATGTATGATTCTATGACAATTACTCCTTTATTATAACATGAATGAAATGTTTTTGCTTGTGGCAATATCGGTAATGATGATATTTTTTGGCGATTCATCTAAAATTTTGGCAATTCATCCGTAGCCTTGGTTGGCAACTCGTCCTAGCATTTATTATTAAATTGTTG